TGCGCACAAGGCCGAGACAGGAGCGATATAAGCTGACGACGAAGGCCAGCTTCATTGTGCTCGATGGGTTATGGGCGTTTTGATAATGGTTCAGCTCGAGTCAGATCGGGAGGTTCTTATAATTCAATTCGGCACTGGAAAAAGCAGGTCCTCAACCTACTTAACCCACCTATAACAAGTCTACAATTATTTTCCATTTAAAAAAGGTTTTGATGCCCTCACGATGATCTGGTTATCTCCATTGGCTACCTGATGGCGACCTGTCGACACACACGAAGTAGGCCTCGTGTTAGGACAAGATGAACGCGATGCACCGCAACTTTGATGGCCATGGATAATCTGGCGGTATAGGTGAGTGGGTGAGCAGCAAGGGTGAGCAGGATGAGCGAGGGTGGTCCCGCCACCTTCAAGTTTCGCAGACTGGGTTTTGGATACGCTGTACCACAGCCAGGCTGGCCATCTGTAAAACCAGGATGGGCACAGGAATGGCCTGGGAAGGCCATTTTTGAGGCAGCGAGCGAGGCGGGCGTGCATGGTGGGTCCATGATAGATATGCTGCCTACTAAATCTAAGAACTCAATAGTTATTAATGTTATTGTGAAGGTATTTAATTACCGCCCCCTACTAGTTATGTTACGTGGATCGGGAGATTATCACCCAAAATCGGCTGGGATAGCCAACGAATATCACACGGCACAAGCCCGTCCGCTACAGCGATCTACTCGTACCATTAAAAAGCCCGTTGCCCCGCTCTTACTTAAGCACGGACTAGTCGATAATCTGAACTAGTAGATCTAGGACTAAGTTATGGAAAGCTTCACCGATCGCAACCTACGTACGAACGCAGACTTGAATACTCACTTAGTGTTACATCACTTAGTGTTACACTCCTTCACTCGAGATTGAGTGGTCGATGTAGTTTGGAGACCTGTAGCACGTCCTCATCCTCTTTTCCAACAGAGAGCTCGGCACCTGGTTTTTGATATAGGCTGGCACCAACCTCAGAAGTCGCATTTCGAAGTGTTTCGCATATCCCCCCATTTGGCGTTGCTATTTTCTCGTCAGGATCGCGAATAATTGGGCCATTACGAGCGGGCGGCTTTCTCTATTGGAGATTCTGGTCGGAAGACATAATATGCTACATACATCCCTCTAGTTTTGTTGACATGAACTACTAATTCCATCGCGCCTTTCAAGAACCTGAAGCCAGTTTGTACTCCATTAATCAATACTTCAGTCTGATGTCATTTCTAACATTTGTAACCTCTATCATATCCAGCCTCTTATTGGTCGTAGACGTGAGATCCCTTAGCCACTCTACGCAAACAAAAGAAATAATTCACCACTGAACTTACTGAGCTTCCTTTCTCGCTCTCGCTCCCAAACAACTTTTATCCACCGCAACACAACCCCCTTTCTCCCCCTTTCTCACACCCAAATTATACCGGTCTCCTTCACCGGCATTGTCAGACGAGGCCAACAAGCCCTGGGTTGTCGTAGGTGAACATTCTAGGACCACCAATCGTTGTTATTGAGCTTGCTCAATCATCTGTCCTTGCATTTCCACCTGGTGCTGCTGTTGTCCAGCGCCAGCCCGTCCCTGCTCTGCGGCCTTCTCCTGACTGGGGCTCTCGCTCATCGTCAAGAATCGCGAGAACATATTACGCTGCAAGTCGCCACCACCAGCGGCTGCAAGCTTCGCGCTCTGCGGCGGAAAAAGATACGCTTACCCCATTTCCAAGTCTCAATACCGGCAAAGAAGAGGATTGCTTCGATGAGCACGATGGCCATTCCAGCTAATGCCGGTGTGCTTGAAGACCACGTGGTTGATGACCGGGATATAGAGGACGGGGAAGACGGTGATAAACCCCGCATAATGGCCAGAACAGGAACTGGTTACGCCAGACATCGTGCATCCATTGGGTGAAGTACTTTTTAGATCCAGGTTGCATGCGGAAGAACGAGCGGCGCATGTTGACCATCTCCCAGGCGAGGAAAGGCGAACAAGGTGAGGCAAACGAAGGTTGTGGCGCGAGCGCGGAAGACGGTGTCGCACACTTCGCTGTAGCATCGTTGCAGCCGATACCGAGGTTGCATCACGAAGCCGAAGAGAACAACGGAGAAGGCGGCAAGGCAGAGGGCAGCCATCCAGAGCCCGTAGACGACCATGTCGACCATGACTTCCATGGTGAAGACGCCGGTTTTAAGAGACTGCGGTGGGCGTTGCATGATGTCTGGGGCAGCAATTTCAACACCGAGACCCATATCGGGCATACCTGAAGGGTTTAGTGACAAGATTGGCATGGAAATAAATGGGTAAGCTTACCGGAAGTGATCATAATAATCCAGAGGATTTCAACAGGCGCAAGAGGGAAAACTGAGAGGCCAGACTGGTCTTTGAAGGCAAGACCAATAAGAAGAGTACAAGCTTGTGCAATATTCTCGGCGAGGAGATGAAGAACAAACTTCTGGATATTGTCAACATACGTCTCCCCTCCTCAATGGCGTTGAGAATAGAAGCGAAGTTATCATCAGTTAGTACAATATCAGAAGCATCCTTTGCAACATCAGAACCAGCTTGGCCATAGCAATGCCAACATCAGCGCGTTTGAGAGATGGCGAGTCGTTGACACCATCACCGGTCATAGCAGCGAAGCATTTGCGGCGATGGAGCGCATCGATCATGCGGACTTTTGTTGTTGGGGAGCAACGAGCAATAACAAGAGGAAGAACAGGCAGATCATCAATCTCGTCATCGGAGAGCTTATCGAATGCACTGGCCGTCATGACCATAGAATCCACGACGTCCTTGGCAAAAGACATCATATTCTCAGGAGAATGCCAACTTGAAGAGCAATGCCCTTGCGGTGCCAGGATGATCACCAGTTAACATATGAACTGCGATACCAGCCCGGTGGCATTCCGCGACAGCGCCGGCTGACTCTGGTCTTGGAGGATCATACAAGCCAACAAGACCACAGAATGCTAAGTTCTCCTCGATGATCTTGCGGTCAAGTGGCGCATCCTTGTCCGCGGGAACAATATATTCCTTGCTTGCAAGAGCCAAAACACGAAGACCTTGTTTTGCAAGAGCCTCCATATTCAACAGAATTTCCTCTCTATGAGCCTCGGTCATCTTAATAAGACCTGGTCTTTGCTCCAATGAACTTGTGTGCAAGACCCCAAGACGCGCTCAACAGCGCCCTTGGTGAAAACCATAGAATTTCCATCCTTGTGCTCGAAGATGAGGACATCTTCTTGACGTCAGAATCAAAGGGAATTCAGCAGTTTGGGACCACTCGGGCTCATCTCCACTGGTGAAACGGTCGCGGCCCCAATCAAAACGAGACGCAAAGACTTGGATGGCGATTTCAGTCGGATCCCCGCGAGCCTTCCAGGTATTTTCACTCTTGTAGACACGAGCAAGATTGGCAAGCGATGCAACATTGAGGAAGTCCTTGAGTGAGTGTTATCTTCGAGGAGGTCGGCAAGTGGCTTAACCTTCTCATGCTCTCCCTCTCCCTCTCCCTGGGGAACATTGGATGGGGCAAAAGTGCTGTGGCTGATATCACCAATCGATGGGTCGACGGGATTTTCGGATGTACCAACGGAGTAAGTGCCCACAGCTGGAACCCAAGCCTTCTTGGTAACCATCTTGCCCTGGGTGAGTGTACCGGTTTTATCGGAGCAAATATCGGTCACAGCACCGAGTGCCTCGAGGGAATCCAACGTGCGAACTACAACATTACGGGAAACCATTCTCTTCGTACCAGCTGCCATAGTGATTGTTAATACCACAACCAAAGATGCAGGAATCATAGACAAGCCTGTCGCGACTGCGTAAATTATGACCTCGTTGTTGTTCGAGAAGTTATTGGCAGCCAAGACGATGATAGCGCAAACAACGGCGGTGCCGAAAAGGAGGATAGCCAGTTTGGACAGCTTCCTTTGAAGTGGAGTGCCAACAGCCGTGCCGAGGAACTTGCCAATACAATCGCCGGCAGTCAAACCCCATGCTTCAAGGTATCTGTGCGGTTTGACCTTGCCATCTTTACTGCGCCTGGGTTCACGGTTTTCTTGTCGGTAGCCCGCAGCGCCAATGCGATAGATCCAATTTCCGTTCTCATACCAGTCGCATAGACGATACCAGTTGCACGGCCTTTGGTAACGGTAGATGAGCTGTATGCAACGTTGAGGCGGTCACCCGGGCCAGTATCAGCGTCGAAGATGGCCTTGGCCTCTTTTGAGACTGGGAGCGACTCTCCTGTGAGGAGAGCCTCGTCTGTCTCGAAGTTCATAGCATCGACCAATCTTTTCACCAAGTTAGCATGAGTGCGGCTGTAATCGATCGACATTGCATACCGGATATCCGCAGGAACGGTATCTCCAGTCTTAAGTTCGACTTTGTCACCAGGCACGAGATCACCAGTGGGGATAGTTTCTGTCTTGCCATCTCGAACGACCGTAGCAGTAGGGGAGCTAAGAGACCGCAGAGAGTCCATCGTTTTTTCGGCGCTGAACTCCTGGAAGAACCCGACGACGACGTTGAGGACGATGACAGCGGCGATAACGCCACCTTCGATCCAAGATTTGATAGCAAGACTCACGGCCATGGCCATGATCAGCACCTAAGTAATTACATCAGATGGTCGACTCTTTGAAAGGGGGTTGTGGATCTCATAACTAGAATCATTGCGTTTGCAATCTGATGGACCAGGATCTTGATGGGTTGCACACCCGGTCCATCGTCGAGCTCGTTGCGTCCCCATTTCTCCGCGCGAGAGGAGATTTGGCTGCGTGCAAGACCATCTTCAGGTTTGTCTCGAGCTGATCTCGAGTTTCGTTTATTGTCAGTGCATGTGCAAACACGACTTGCGGACCACTGTCTAGGCCCTGATCTTTAGCCATGATTGAGAGGAAACAAACGAAGCAGACGAAATCACGCGACTAAGAACAATTGACAGTTGATGAGAGAAGTTCGTACAGCAGCAGCAACAACTGTTGTATATGTAGTCTTAAAAGGGTACCAAAAGGAATACTTTCTCCACCAAACCTTTGGGGGTGAGTCGTAAAGATAGCCAGAAGTCGGCTTGGCTTGGTCTTGGTCAGGTCTTGGCCTGCAAAAATGATAACTTCGAAAAAACAAGATGCGCATATCGGCGAAAGGAAGGACCTTAGTGGAACTCTGGGTATGGCGGAGAAAGCTAGAGAGCGCATATTTTAAAATGTGTTATCCACAATGACATCTCCGCAACCTCTTTGGTTAATGGGGTGGCGACAGTGCGAAGAGTGGAGCAGTTAACCCAGATATATGACGACAGCCAAGTATATATTCCACAAAACTTACGCAGAGGTGCTCGCGTGCCATACCAAGGCGGCTGCACTCGGGCCTAATCACATGATGCTGTCATAATCACATGATTCTGTACGTTACCATTGGCTAACAATTGCACTGAAAGTTTTCCCTGGCGTAAAGTCCGACTCCCGGATTGGCTCGGAAGCTCTGGTGGTGTAGATCTTATGCAGCTGCCGAATTCTATCACAACTGAAGCTGAAGAGCCCTCAGGCTGCCAGGGTTTCGGGCTTCCCCCAGGGCTTATAAGTAGGATACGTAGGCCCGTAGCATAGTGTAGTAATTCAATTTGATCTATATTTTACATACTGTATTTACTGCGAGGCTCCTGCTCCGGTGCGCCAAGAGACTGATTACGGTGATCGGGATTTCTTGTGAAGATATGATTAAAAAACCACAAAAGGCAAAAGCATACAACAGTGGACGCCTAAAGGGCTAGCCACCTGCTTCATATTTCACTTATATTTTCAAGGAGATGATGGGATGCTAGGTTGAATTAATTCATCTCCCCTTTGCGATGGCTTTGTCTTAGAAAGCAGCCTCTGCCTTGTCTTTGCTGTAGTGTGACTAGGCTAGTGGATAGTTGCAGACACTAGTGGATATTAGATAGTTAAGCTATCCATTAACTATCTAGATTATCTAGCTATCTATCAACTATCTAGACTATCTATAAGGCACAACACCACTATATAAGTAGTGTAAGGACACAGGGCACCCAGCTCACAGCAATAGCATATCAGAGTGCAAGTCGGAGGCTAAACGGATGCTATCCTATAGGTCTACTACGAAGGATACAAAAAGATGATGAGAGGAACCCCATTGGGTCAATCCCCTTACGTACCCGAAACGGGTCCGACTTGGTGTCATACTGACATTCGTTGCACTCAGTTTGCTATCAAACTCAAGAGCAAACTTAGAAATCTCCTCCTCAAACCTACAAGTCACCATACATATCTTGGCTTATCACACCAACAACAGAAGCAATACTACTGAACGATTGCTGCAAACTCTTCTACTACATCTGTTTATGCTACATACATCACAGCATATCATTTGGACACTCATTGAACAAGTTATTAAGAAAATCTCCTCCTTAAGGGGGTGGGCCAATACTACCACATGGCATATCTCTACCAACTAGAGGCCTAGGAACATGAACGATAGCTCTAGAAGCTTCTACAACCCTCTATGATTCATTACATGTCATCGCTCCTTAGTTACCCACAAGATTGGTTAAGTTATGACATAATTTGTCTATAGGGGTACTCTGACCTTGGACCTCCTTTCACTTCCTATAGGCTAGGAACCCAAGAGATGGTTCTATGGTTCTCTTACGTTCACTACATGATTAGCAAGCTAGTTGTGGGTCGCACTTGATTTCTAATACATTTACCAAGCCTGGTTAGTCATGGAAAGTCATGGAAAATGAGAGAACTACACTCCTTTGGCATAAATAGGATTGCCCTTTCCTTAAGAAAGGGCAAGCAGGCAATACAGTAAATCGACTATCACATACTTCCACGTCTTTTACAAGCTTCCAAGCATTCATCTTGTTACTCCTTGTTTCTGAAAAGTCAGTGAGGTGTTAACCTCTGACTTACCCCTGAGTTCCCAGACTCAACATTTGTTGCAACTTGTCTGAACCACTTCACTACATCACACACCTGATTGCTGCGTTGTGGAATAGTCTAAGCTACAACCCTTTGGCTCTGTTTCCTAAGACAGTGTGTTGTCTTAGTAAAATCATCCCTTCCTTGGGTGGCTAGATTCTCACATCTGGTGCACCCACCATTACACTTGGCTAACCTGCCTTAACTCTCCCCACGTGACCGTAACCTCTCTGACTCAGATCCCTTCTGTCACTGAGGGCGGAGGCATCCTTACAAGTAGATCGTAGTCCCTTAGATAGAACTTCATGCTCAACTTAATATAGTATTCTTTACAATACTGTAACATGTTACTTAGAAAGCCTTTTTGTTTAATCCCCTGCCTCCTCTGTTAAGTCAACCTTATGCAAGAAACCTTCTATCATTTTAGAAGTTAGCGTTACACTTTAAGCACCACTTCTACAAGGTGCCGGCTTACACACAAAGCAACATGTCTTCTGTTAAGAAGAGCAAGTCCCTAGAGCCATCAGCTCCCCTAACTACACCACCAACTGTAGTGGTGACTACTGTCACTAGTAAGCAGACTGTTAAGGTTCAGGTGCCTAAACCCTATAGAAGAACGACACAAGCTTAAGGCTTTTCTCCTTAAGTGCGACTTGTACCTTATGTTCAATTCTCATGTGTTAATAGGAGAGGCTAACTAGGTCTTGTAGGCTATCACCCTCTTGTAAGGGGCTGCCTTTAACTAGATCAAGTTCTTTGTTAATGACTACTTAGAAAAGAAGGGACCTAAGGGACAACTCTACACCCACATATCGGTCATCACTAGGGAAATCTTCAGAACCTAGAAGGGATTTAAGACCAACATTACTAAGGTGTTTGGTGACATAGACGCTAAAAGAATGGTAGAACGACACCTGCTAAAGATTCAGCAGAAGGGGTTAGTCACGCCTTACACTACAGAGTTTCAGCAGTACATAGGATGAACTTATTAGCATGATGATGCCTTACAAGCAAGGTACTACGACAGTTTGAGGGACTCTATTAAGGACGAGATCGCTCGTGGCATCTGTCTAGACAACCTAGAGAACCTAATCCTCACTGCTACGTTAATCAACTATCGTCACTACAAGTGCAGACTTAAGAAAGGTGGACAGAAACCCACTTGGATCTAGAAGAGACCTAAGCAGAAGAGCTATTAGCCTTAGTGTAATGGTGGGTGCACCAGATGTGAGAATCTAGCCACCCAAGGAAGGGATGATTTTACTAAGACAACACACTGTCTTAGGAAACAGAGCCAAAGGGTTGTAGCTTAGACTATTCCACAACGCAGCAATCAGGTGTGTGATGTAGTGAAGTGGTTCAGACAAGTTGCAACAAATGTTGAGTCTGGGAACTCAGGGGTAAGTCAGAGGTTAACACCTCACTGACTTTTCAGAAACAAGGAGTAACAAGATGAATGCTTGGAAGCTTGTAAAAGACGTGGAAGTATGTGATAGTCGATTTACTGTATTGCCTGCTTGCCCTTTCTTAAGGAAAGGGCAATCCTATTTATGCCAAAGGAGTGTAGTTCTCTCATTTTCCATGACTTTCCATGACTAACCAGGCTTGGTAAATGTATTAGAAATCAAGTGCGACCCACAACTAGCTTGCTAATCATGTAGTGAACGTAAGAGAATCCCATAGAACCATCTCTTGGGTTCCTAGCCTATAGGAAGTGAAAGGAGGTCCAAGGTCAGAGTACCCCTATAGACAAATTATGTCATAACTTAACCAATCTTGTGGGTAACTAAGGAGCGATGACATGTAATGAATCATAGAGGGTTGTAGAAGCTTCTAGAGCTATCGTTCATGTTCCTAGGCCTCTAGTTGATAGAGATATGTCATGTGTAGTATTAGCCCAGTAACTAAGGAGTGATGTCATGTAATGAATCATAGAGGGTTGTAGAGATATGCTATGTGGTCATATCAGCCCAGTAACTAAGGAGCAATGACGTGTAATAAATCATAGAGGGTTGTAGCAATCGTTGAGTAGTATTCCTCTTGTTGTTGGTGTGACAAGCCAAAATATGTATAGTGACTTGTAGGTTTGAGGAGGAGATTTCTAAGTTTGCTCTTGAGTTTGATAGCAAACTGAGTGCAACAATATGACACTTAAGGAACGGCTCTGCTTTAATTGCAATAAGCCTGGATACATGGCTAGGGACTACAAGCAGCCAAAGAAAGGGAATGGTGGTCAGAAGTTCAGCAAACAACTAAATGCCACTTAGCAAGGCCAAGCGGGCTACAACTCTTAGAGTGGACAGTTAAATGCCACGTCTAAAGGCAAGGAAGTCTAGGAGGTCACTACTGAAGACGTTAAGGAGTTCGACACCTCAAACGGCAAGGACAAGGAAGACGAACCCTTGTCTAATGATGAACTCACGTCAAAGCAAGCAGAAGAGCTAAAACGCTTTAAAGAAAGTGCAAGCAAAACGGTATTTAAGGACCAGCTACCTAGGGTGATGAGATGCCTTAGGTAAAGCATGCTTGAAAGCAGGGATTAGGGCATCCCTATGCTGGAACCGCTAAAATATTAGCAAGGCACAGAACAAGGCTAGGAGGTTACGGTCCATAAAATGAGATGCCGACTGTCATACTGACATTTGTTGCACTCAGTTTGCTATCAAACTCAAGAGCAAACTTAGAAATCTCCTCCTCAAACCTACAAGTCACTATACATATTTTGGCTTGTCACACCAACAACAAGAGCAATACTACTCAACGATAGCCCCACTAGCCCTATAACCATGATGTTACGTTACAGTAGCCATAACATGAGCCTCCTGTTCCGAAGATGCTGCTGCTTTCTATTTAGACTTAAGATGCTCTTCTTCTTTACGAAGCTTTTCCTAATTAGGAGGAGAAGGGGTGTAAGCATCGCATTTGGAATTACTATGAGTACATTCACTACAACGATGATGACTATGAACGATGATACAAGATCGCTTGCTATGAAGACACTTAGAACATAGTGACATTAGGTTGCTGTTCTTTTCGATGCAGTCTGTAAGAAGATTTCGTTCTTTGATTTTTGTGTGTCTCTTAGAAGACATAATAGCAGCGCACCTACTTGGCAATTAAGTAGGCATCACCCTACTTAAGTAATTAGCAGTTTCCTTAATTAGCAAGACCTATAGGACTAGGTCTTTAGGAGGGAGACCTAGTGTTACAGCTATGGAACGTAATGTCATAGTTATAGAGCTAGCAGGGCTAGGCTCTAGTAACATGACTCATAGTCACAAGGCTAGTAGGGCTAGGCTATAGCATGACCTAGCTAGTGGATAGTTTGTAAGGACACAGGGCACCCAGCTCACAGTAATAGCATATGAGAGTGCGAGTCAGAGGCTAAACGGATGCTATCCTATAGGTCTACTATGAAGGATACAAAAAAGATGATGGGGGAACCCCATGAGTCGATTTTCTCAAGTATCCGAAACCCATCCGACTCGGTTCCAACTCGGTTAGCCCACCCAAATGATCACACGTGACCCTGCGGCTACCCGGAGTCTACTCCCTAGAATGAGAGACGAGAAGGCATCCTTACACTACCCCCCTCCTGAGAGAGTGCTTTGTCCACAAGGCACGCGGCTAGTATCATGTCCGCAACGTCTCCGAATCGTCTCCGTGAACGGAGCGTTTCTTGTTATCATAATGTTGGCTGGTAATTGCGTCCGGAACAACTTTGTTTGTTGTGCGCGTCGGGAAGGTGCTTTGTTTGCCACCGTAGTCGTCCCGAGGTGGTATCGCGTTAGGGTCTGTGTGGCATGCAAAACTGGAGTTCGCTTTTGTTGGATCTCACATTCGTTCTTGGGGTCCGAAACAGTACCGGAAGGTGTCCGCTACACGTTTGAGTAGAATTTTCATAAAACGTGAAAGAAGAAGTGGCCGCGCTAACCTGATTCAGCGTTTATTGTTGTAAGCCAACATTTGAGTATTCCGCTTCGCCCACTTCCTCTTGTTTTTACCTTACAACAACAACACCAGCAACCCTCCCACCCGAGACCAGTAAGTGGCCCCTCCCCGTCCGTTTGTTTATGATACTGATAGATTGTATAGTATACTCCAATCCAAAAAGTAGGTGATGAGGGCGCATTGGCACAGTGTTGATAACTTGTGCTGGGCTGACGGAATCACAGATTCCAAATTTGAAGATGCCGGTTCCCACCCCCTCCGGGGCTCTTACTGTCGCCTTCCATGTGCTCTGTTTGCGCTGCCTTCGGGCCAAAGCCTGTGGGATCCAGTCCCATGACTGCGTCTAGTCCCCGACCAGTTCAAAGTGTGGGTACTGCACGTCGCAGCACTCGCCTTGCGTCCTGGTAGGTTTTCTTGTGGGGTTCGGTGTTTGGTTTGGCTGGCCGTTGCTGACTTGGTGAAAGCTGCCCTGGTTCCTTGGGGAAGAGTTTGCGGCCCTCCTGGCTGCCCAGAGCATGCACAAGTTCCGCTCCGAGGCGGAGCGTGACCTCTACGAGGAGCGCGCCACTCGGGCTGCCCTTGAGTTGGGGCTGGCCGTGAGTAGACCCCCTTCCCCTTGTGACTCGGTGTGGTTCCGATGCTGACTCTGGGCAGCAAATTCGGTCATCGCTGCGCCGTCTCCGGACGGAACAGGAGAGCGTTCCTGCTCTCTTGGGGGAGTTGGTGGCTGCTGTGGGCAAACTGCCCACCGCTGCCGCTCCCGTGGTTGCTCCTACTCGGGGTGATGGAAGGAGGGAGGGGGAGGATGGGGAAGTTGGGGCGGCCTATGGGGCCTAGGTGGGGGAAGACCTTGTGTCGGAGGGGACTCGGGCCTGGCCCTTCGCGTGGGGTCACTTCGACCCTTCATCTCTCATGGTGGTAGCCGCTTGTTGCGACGCCGGTGAGACGTTTGGGAAGGGTGACTCCCGCAAGGGTTACGGTGGTGAGTGCGCCCTGGCTCGGAGGGTATATTTAGTTTAGAGTCGCAGACAGCAATGACTCTGTTTCTTCCGCTTTGTCTTTCCCTCCGTGATCGTAGTTTTGTTCCTTTCCCGTCTCCCCTGCCGTAACAACTCCTAGTAGTTCGTGAGGTGGACCTGGTAAGTCTGGGTATTCCGTATGAAACTCTCTGAGTTTCTGGGGAGAGTTCATGAAGTTTGACGCTGGGTACCACTCTGGGTCCGGATCGTATCCGACCCAACTAACCCGGTATTGTAGTTGCTTCTGGTGGACCCTTACGGCGAGGATCTTTTCCACTTCCCATTCCTCTACGCCATCTATCACTTCGCTGCTAGGCTCAGGCGGATCCTGACCAGGTAGGGGATTGTTCGGATCCTTCATAAGTACGTCTGGTGAGAACACATCGTGTATTTGAGAACCGCTAGGTAGTTCCAATCGAAATGCGTGCCCAATCCGTTCCACCACCGTATATGGTCCGACCCATTGTTGGCCCAGCTTGCGGCTAGGACGAGAGTTTTTCAAATTTTTGGTCGATAGGTACACTCTATCTCCTACGTCCCTTCGGCGTCGATTCGCGTGCTTAGACATTTCCTCTTGTGCCTTTGCCATGTTTTCCTTTGCGTGGACCCATGCGGTATGCATTCGGTCTGCCACCGCCTTGGCTTCCTCTCGGTTTAGGGTCTCCCGGGGGTTGGTGCTTTTCGGAGTATTCCAATCCCAACTCGTACGCGGATCGGTTCCGTACTTGAGTCGGTAGGGGGTCATGCCAATGGATGCGTGGGGGAGTGTCATTTGCACGCGGTCCATTATGGGGATGAGCTCACTCCAGTTATCCTGATAATAGGATACGAAGGGCCTCAGTCTCTGATCGATGTATCGGTTCATGATTTCCGTCTGCCCGTCGGTCTGCTTATGATAGGCCGTTGACAGCTTAACCTTAACGCCGATAATTCGACAGAACTCTTGCCAAAAGGATGATACGAATTGGGGTCCGCGGTCGCTTACAATCGACTCCGGAGTGTGTCCGAATCGGTATATCCATTCGATGAACAATTGCGCCATCTGGCGGGCAGTTATGGTCTTGTAGCAAGGTATTGTCACTGAACTCTTTCTGAGTCGGTCCATAAACACTAAGATGCTATCGTATCCATGCTTGTCCCTTGGGAACTCCTTGAAGTCCATGGTGAGGTGTTGCATAGGGTATTTGGGTATGGGTAGTGGGTGTAGAAATCCTTGTTGCTTAGTGACATTGGTGTGAGAAAGCCGGCATGTCACGCAGTTTCGTACATACCGCAAACAGTCCGCTTCCATCCCGACCCAATGATACTTTGGGGCGAGCAATTGGTAGGTTTTCCTGCCACTTGGATGTGCTGATGACACTTGATCGTGCGCTTCCCGGATCAGTTTTGTACATAGGTCAGTGTGGCGATTCACACATAGGCGGCCTTTGTACAGGAGGAGCTGGTCGTTCATCGCGAATCCGTCCGGTAGGGGTTGTTTCGCGCGAGTCTCGGTGAACGACTTCCAATTGTCCGCACATAGCGCCTCTATTAAATTGAAGGGCACCTGGGGCTTGGGGGTGTCCATCGAATTAATGGATGCTATGTAGCTCTCAGCGAGTTCGGTGCTGATTCGGGGGTGCAGGCGGCTTGGACCTAACAATACCCTCGCCCTACTATCAAGCTTGACTTTCTGCTGCATTACCAAGTCCTGGTCTCTTCGGCTCAGAATATCTGCCTTCTGGTTATTCTTGCCCGCGGTGTACGTAATGCAGAAGTTGAAGTCGGAGAGTAGCTCCATCCATCAAACCTGCTTCGCGGTGAAAACCTTGGTAGACATGACATATTCCAGCGAACGGTGGTCAGTGTACACGTCGACTCAGTGGCGCACTGAAGCCAACTCGGGCCTCCATTTTCCGAAGGCCTTTACTATTGCGAATAGTTCCTTGTCGTGGATCTCCCAATTGATCTCATGTCCGGATAGGACATGACTGTAAAAGCTTACGGGGTACCATCGCTTGTCAGGGTGTTCTTGAGACAGTACACCAGCTACCACTCCATCAGAGGAGTCGGTCTCCAGCTTCGTAGGCAATTCGGGGTTGAAGTGGTGAAGTGCCTGTACTGCTAAAAGTTGTCGTCACAATTCCTCGAACGCATCCTCACATTTGTCTGTCCACCGGAACGGCTCCGAGGGACTAGTGATGGTGGTGAGGGGCTTTGCTATTTTGCCAAAATTACGAATGAATTGTCTATAGAAGCCACAGAATCCCAGGTAGGACTTCACACTCATAACAGTGGTCGGTCAGATCCAGTTACGAAGGGGTTCGATTTTGTCAGGGTCCGCTTCGACACCAGAGGTAGTGAGAACATAACCCAAGTATTTTGTCCTGGTGACGTTGAACTCGCATTTGTTCAAATCGGCTTGGAGTCCAGCTTCTCGGAGACGCTGTAGGACCTTATGCACATGCTCTATGTGTTCCGTAGGGTCCTCTGAATAGATTAGGATATCGTCTAAGTATGCGGTACAGAAGTCGTCTAAGTATTCTGTACCGCAGAAGATTTTTGCTTTTGACACCCGTCCTAGTAGTTCGTCGATACGCGGGATGGGGTAGGGATCGTTCCGGGTGAGACCATTTAACTTCCGGTAATCGATGCAAAATCTTAATTTGCCATCCGCTTTCTTTACGAATAGGATAGGGGACGCGAAGGGGCTGTTGCTGTTGACGATAAATCCCTTTTCCAGGTTTTCCAGCAGGTATTGCTTGGTAGCCTTAAGCTCTTTGGTGCCCTGTCGATATAACGGGGAGAAAGCGTTTGGTAAAGGGGCTTCGAGCTGTATCTTGTGGTCATATATGCAGTGGGGGGGAATTCGATCCGATTCCAACTTCGAAAAGACATCAGTGTACTTCCGGTGCATATGCGGAAGCTTCTGCTGGATGAGGCAGAGCGTTTCTTCGTCCTCTACCAACTCCTTTTCATGAATGATCTGATCGATTTCGTAGATGCTAGTCTGAAAAAACTCGGAGTCGTTTCGCATCATCTCGTGGTGGAAAGCATTTGCACTGATTTCGCATATATGCATGGGCGTAAACCTATGTACTAGGGTTTTCTGCGGTGGGGGAGAAACCTCCTGGTTTCATAGTGGGTTCGATGGCGTATCGGTGATCTCTTCGTAGTCGGAAGTTATCACTTTCATTTCCATCGAGCGTCCGCCTGCGTGGCGTCTTTCTTCGCGGTGGATTGCAAAATCCTGGCGATTCGCATCCGACTGGTATGCAGGATGTTTAATGGACGTTTCGCGTGAGTGGTAGGGCAAGGTGATCTCCTTGCTCCAGCTAGGAGTCGGCGGGTACTCCTTTGGCCATACTAACCAGCTCTTTGCAGAGTCGAGTAGTATTCGGAAGCGGCTGAAAAGCTTCTTCCCAATTATCACATCTTGTGCTCCGAGGTCCAGGAGTACAAAGGGGCAGTTATATATCCAGCGTCCTTTGACTGTTAAGTGTAACCGAATATACTCTGATACGTGGCCTTGGATTTTGTGCTGAAATCCACATATGGGTACAGAGTAGGGTAGTTTCCGTATGGGGCTCTGAAGCGCTTTCGACAGTCGTATTGCGAAAGGCTTGTTAATGACAAGGTAGCCATTTGCTCCTGTGTCTGCCAGGGACTTCGTTTGCACCCCGAGTCCATTCATACTCAGGGTTGTGTCGACTAAGAACTGGGTGCCTCCCAGGAGTTCTCGTAAGTCTAGTCCTCGCAGGTCACATTTGCGTAGACCTAGGAAGGAGCCTTCTCCTAGGCCTCGTCGTTTTCCTTGAGGGACGCATCCGGTTGAAGTTCCACGGCTTCTTCCCATTGTTCTTTGGCCTCAGGGTCATTACGGTCCATTTCCTTGATAGTAGCGTTAAGGGGACATTTGTCCTGGAAATGGCCCAGCTTGCCACACTTGAAACAGTTTCCTGAGGGCGCAGGGACTGCGGTTCTCAGACGTTCCTGTATGGCTGGCTTGGGGAGGAACACAGTTTGGGTGAACAGAGCGGATGTGGCTCGAGTCGGCTTCGACGCCGACGACGCCTTTGCCGTATCTGAGGTACGTGTGGACGTCCTTGCGAGAGCGGGTAGTGGATTCAATTCGTTGTTCCGGCGCCGTTCCTGGTCGAAGGCGGTAAGTTCTCGTACCATGGTCTGGTATTCTCCATTCCATTGGTTTTTGATGTCGTGACGTGGCTGCGGAACTGGGGAGTCAACTTGTTCCACATGTACCGAAACCATTCCGACTCGGAGACTTGTCCTGTGATAGCTGCACTTTTGAAATGAGCTTTGAACTCTGGGAAGGTTTCGCTAGCATGCCCTTTCTCTCCCATTTGCAGGTCGTCAAAGAGGTTCCTGGCCTGTTCCGTCTCGTTGCCTGTGAGGTAATATGAACCTAGTAGATCCATCATCTCCTCAGCACTGCGGAACCCATGCGTAGCGGACAGGTATTGGGGCTCTAGGTAGGTCTTCGCCAGGCTGGTCGTAGTTCCCCATATCAACGCTCTTCTCAAGACGTCGGTAAGGTAGTGGTTCTCATTGACTACGAGTCAGTCCCGAATCGAAGCGCTCCATTGTAAGAAGGTATGTTCTACCCCATCGCTGAGAGGAAGGATTTTCTCAGAGATGGTTGATTTCTTATAGCGATTCGGAGGGTCCTCGGTGTGCATTCGTGACGACCCTGGAATCGAGGGAGAACAAGTGTTCTGAAGAGGCAGCAATTGAACTGTCTCGGGGGTGTTTCATGTACGAGGCGTTCGTTGGTCCGTAGCTTTGACTGTGGGTATGGGGGCGTCCACCGGCGGTGTG